GTAATGGCAAAATCGATGCAGCAGCTTCAGCTGGCCGCATCTGTGGGTTTACGGCACTGCTGTCTGGTTTGCTCTCTGTGCCGCGGGAGAGCGAGGAGGCCGTGGTCGGGAGGGCACATTGCGACTCCATGGTCTTTTTGCCCGAGGGCAAGCGGCAGAGAAGAGACAGACGTTTCGGTGGCTCGGATTTTGTTTTGGAGACGGTGATCCCCTAAATGCCCAGACGACGGGACGGGCGGGGCGGGGTGCCCGGGAGGCGGGCGGTGACACCTTTGGCGGCCACCGCTCCGCTCAAATAGCCAGTGCCGCGACCGGAGCGGACCTGGCACGGCCGCCCACCCCATGGTGACGGCGGCGAGCGGGCGGAGCGGCGGCACTCCGGAGCGCCGGGGGCCCGGCGGCTCCCCTGGGGGCTGCCCGCGGCGCCCGGCATGGCGGCGGCGCCTGGGGACGGCGGCGGAGGTGGGGGACAACGCGCAGGAGCTGCAGGCTTTCCGCGACTATGGCGAGAGCTGGTACCGCTCCCGCAAGGGGCTGGAGAGCCGCTTCCAGCCGCGGGAGCCGCTTGCCCGGCAGCCGCAGGTGGGGGCAGCGGGGCCGGCGGCGGGGAATGGGAGGGGGAGCCCGGGGTCGGCCCCGCCTGATCCCTCCACTGCCGGTGCCGTAGGTGACAGCAGAGGCGCGCTGCAAGCTGGTCAGCTGGCTCATCCCCGTGCACCGGCATTTCGGGCTCTCCTTGGAGGCTCTCTGCCTGGCCGTCAACATCCTCGACCGCTTTCTCGCCACTACCCCGGTGGCCGCCGACTGCTTCCAGCTCCTGGGGGTAACAGCGCTGCTCATCGCCTGCAAACAGGTAGGGGCGGCCCCGGGCCCCGGCTGCCCCACCACCGGGGGTGGCGGCCCGCTGAGGCCGGCCTGAGGGGGGCTCGGACAGGCCGGGCTCCGCGCCAGCTCCCCTGCACTGCTTCCCGGCGGCAGCGCCCTCACTCCCCCCTGTCCCCACCCGCAGGTGGAGGTGCACCCTCCTAGCGTGAAAGAGCTCCTCGCCCTCTGCTGCGACGCCTTCACCCGCCAGCAGCTCCGCAACCTGGAGTGCATCGTCCTGCATCGCCTGGACTTCGACCTGGCGGCGCCCACCGTCAGCTTCTTCCTGGAGCACTTCAGCCAGGTGCGGCTGGAGGCTCGGGGGGCCGACGCGCGGGAGGCGGCGGACGCCCGGAGCCTGGCGGCGGGCGTGGCGGAGCTCAGCCTGGCTGACTATGCCTTCACCAAATACGCGCCCTCCCTGCTGGCCGCCAGCAGCCTGGGGCTTGCGGACCGGCTCCTGCGCCACCGCAGCCCCCTGGACCTGCGAATCAGCGGCTACCCGGACGGGCTCCTGCGGGACTGCATGGAGCAGCTTCAGCTCCTGGTGTCTCTGAATGGGCGGTCCCTGTCTCTCCTCCTGCCCTCAGAGTTGGCCCAGAAGTGCCCCTGGCTTGGGGATGACCGCTGACAGCGGGTGGTGGTGGAGACGGCTCTGGCTCGGCGTTTGTGCTCCACAAAGTCGGTGCAGTCTGATCCACTAAGCCTTAGTGTCATTGGAGCTTAAAAATTAGATGGCATTTTGCAAACGGTTTTATGTGTCATGTTATCTACACTGTCCCTTTGCTGTATTTTTTAAAGTCAAGCATGTAAATATTTTACTGAATCTCACGTACTGTGTTATTTAATTGGAGGGTGGTCCATAAAGATAACGTAAGGACCAACTGAATATTGAGTAAACTCTTTTCTGCTTGTTACCTCTATACATTTGTTGGCTGGCAGTATGCAGATGCAGCTGGGAGAGGAAATACATTGGCACATAACGAATTCACCCTGTCAGTTAACACAATCCCCCACAAAACAAACATGCCCAACAGTGTCATTCCCTGTGATGCCTATGTAACTTGAGTCAAAGTTACAAGATGCTTATACATCTTGAGTTACAAGATACCAATATAACCCAAATCATAACTTTCTAGACCATGTAGTAGCCAGTATATGGTTAACTAGTTGCTTAATGCTTAAATAAACAGAAACTCACCAGGTGAATAGTTTCAAAAATAGACAGGTATAGCTATATTGGGAAGCAGCAGGATGAACTAATTAGTAATTAGCAAATGTAAAGCAAATTAACCACAAAATTAAGAATTTAGACCAGTTAGATCCAGAAAGACCAAGGAACACCATAACTGTGCATGCTCTGAAGACAAAGTTGAAAAGTTCAGATGGGAGGAACACCTTAAGCATTCATTGAAGAAGACCACCAAGACTACCTAAATTGGGGAAGCACAAGCACAAGCACAGTACAGAACAATTTATATCCGTGAGATAACATTATGTAAATAAGTTCCGGTACATATATGATGATGTTATAACGACGTAGCAATATTAAGCAATATTTACTGTATGAATAAACCACGGCACTTGACAAAGGTGGGTGAAGAAATCCCCCTCACCTCCAGTGCTGTGATAAAAAAAATACCTGCTCTATAGCCAGTCTATGGGGTTTTATTTCACCCGTTTCAAACTGCTACCGCTGGCTTCGTTATGGCTCGGAAAAAAAAATAGATACACTGACATAAGTGTAGGAAAACAGAGTGTGGAATAATAACAACAGCTGGGTTTGTTTGTTTGTTTGTTTGTTTGTTTAGTTTTCTAGCAGGTCTATATCCAGATGCACGCTCCTGAGCAGGCTGGCATAATCAAAGACAGAAAACAGTCATAGTGTTGTAAAATATTTCATTTTCTTCATTTGTATCTGTGTACAAAAGCAGTGTTAAAAGACCTGGAGCTGCCCTAGGGGGTGCTCACCTTTCAGCGCAGGGGGGACTCGGACGCCGGGCGGCGCTCCAAGTCCTGCCTGCCCTCAGGCAGAACGAGCAAACCTTGTCCACGCTGCTGTTATAAAAAATACCTACAAGACCACCACGGGGGAATAAAGGGCAGCTCAACCTCCGCCAACCCCGTCGGTGATTTTAGCTGGACATGCCGTAGCAGCGGGTGCGACCGTCTGCCGGTGCGAGGGTACCCTCTCCCAGGTGCGCGGATCGGTACATTCAAGATGCCATTGATGGGCTTTTTTCTCCTACATAACACACTCCACACCCGCCCCGCCGCCGTCCCCCGTGGCTTTCAGCGCAGACGGACCCTCTCCTTAGAGAGGTTTAACAAACACCATTATGAAAACCAGCCCAGCCCCCAAGCTGCCGCCCGCACTGCCCGGCAGAGAGCCGCGGGGCTGAGCGCGGCACCGAGCTGCTGGGGGCCGGGCGGCCGTGCTGGCGGGGCAGGCAGCGCCTATGCTCGCGTTTCCCTCCGGGCAGCCCCTCAGCCCGCCCAGGCTCCGCAGGCGCGGGGAAGGGTTCCGCGGGCGCGGGAGCGGGCGGCGCGGCCCGGGGCGGCGGCGGGAGGTTTCGGCGCCCCGGAGGGCGAAGGCGGGCGGGCAGCCCCGCCATGGCCGCGGCCCCCCGCGCCCCTGCTCGCGGGGCGGCGCCGAGCGGGACGCGGGGCGGAGGGCGCCCGCCGCCACCGGAGCTGGAGCCGAGGCCGGGGCCGGGGCCGCGGCGCCAGCATGGAGCAGGGCGGCCGCCGCCGAGCCTTCGGCAGTATCTGCCCCAACACAGTCCAGGGCCCGCCCGCCCGCCCAGCCAAGAAGTCGGCCCGGCCCGGCGGGGACACGGCGTGGACGCCCCCGGCCGCCCTGAGCCCCCGAGCTCCCCCGCCCCGTGTTCGCCGCAGCGGCGCCTCGCCCGCCGCCGCCGCGCCCGCCCTGGGTGAGTCAGCCTGCGGCAGACAGCCTTAACCCCCAGGCGTGTACCCTTCCCCGTTCCTCCTTCTGCTCCCCTCTGGTGTTCCCCACCGTGCTCCCCAGCCGTGATACCCACACCTTACCCTCCACCGTGTTCCCCCGGCCATGACCTCTCTCCATGAACCCCGCTGTATCCTCTCTGGTGCCTTTGCACCCCGTTTCCCAGCCTTGCATTACCCGGCCATGCACATCGAAGATGTTCCCCAGCCGTACTTCTCATTTTGGCATGCCCCATTTGCTATGTCTACCCATGCCCGTGCTACTCACCTTTGTCTCTGACTGTCCCCAGTGCTCAGCACCATCAACTGGCAGGATTTGGCAGCCTCTGCCCCCATCCTTCCCACCACCCCAGCTGGCCCTGTGACCCTGCAGCAGGTAAACCTACAGTTCAGAGCAGCCTAGGCTGCACTTGGCACCTGAAAGGGTAGCTCTCTCAAGCAGATGGGTGCTGACAACTTCCCTAACCTCAGGTTTCCCACCTGTGAAATGGGCACAGCAGAGGACAGCATCTTGTCCCATGTGTCAGATGGGTTGCAAGTGGCAAGGGGATGGTGCCTGGGGGTGCTGGAACTGAGATGAGGTGCTGAGCACAGGCAGCAGACACTGATGAAACAGTATGGGCAGTGGTGTGGGCAGGTCTGAGCCCTGGGCCCTGCTCACTGGATCATTTCCTTCACCCCTGCCAGGGTCCCTGCTTCCAGGATGGGCCGGAGTTTGATTTCCAGGAATTCAGGGATACTCTTGGCGATTTTATACCTGGTAAGTAGATATTTTTCCTTACCTGAGCCAAATGTACCTGCGTGTGCACATTTGCAGTCATGCTACATTCAGTTTCCTTTTTTTTTTTGCTTTGCTTTTGGAATTTTGGATGCCCACTCACTGCATGTTTGTCCCACCATGGGACAATCTGTGAGGTAGTGCATTCTTGCTCACCCCCTTAGAGACCTGAGCTGTCACTGAGCTTTCACCCACGGGAGACAAATTAAATCCAAACAGATTCAGGTTGCACAGCTGTCACAGTAGAGTAAAAGCATTTCAGAAGGACATGTCCAAAGGGAACCTCCAGAGGGATGTTTAGAACCAGAATGGTGTGCTGGGTTTGGCAAGAACAGACATTAATACCTCCAATTAACACTTGTGGCTATTCCTTCCAGATGTATCCACCTTAATGCCACCACCACTGGACTGTACTGACTATATTTTCTCACTTGGTGAGGAGGTGGCTTTTGGCCCCTGCACCTCGCAGCTGCAGAGCAGCGTGCTGGTGCAGGTTCCCCCACAGAACCTGTCTTCCCCTGAGCCGTGCTGGAAGGACCTGGCAGACCAGCACCAGAAAGCACTGGGAGATGCCCTGGAGGCAAACAGCCAGGTAGGGACCCCCAAGCCCTCCCCACCCTACACTGTGTTCTGTCACATCCTGTTGAGGCAACTGCAGGGCCCTGGCGTGCAGCATCCCCTGGCTCCTGGACGATGTGGCTGCCTCAACCAGCCCTTTCCCCATTTGACCTTCGTAGCTGCAGGAGACCCTCACACAGAGGCAGGAAGAGCTGGTGACACTGCGGGAGAGCAATGTGCAGCTGAAGGAGCTGGCAAGTCAGGCCAGGCAGCTGGCTGCTGTCCTTGACGTGAGTGCTGCTCACCATTCCAGCCTGGCTGCTCCGCGGCCCAGCTTGTCCTGGGGGACAGTGTGATATCAGGAGCAGAGGGGAATAGGGTGCAGGGTGAGGCAGCACGGGGTGGGACAGGGCCTGAATGGGGGGAGATGTGGAATGGGATTGTGCAGTGTGGGGTTGTGGGAATTGCGTGGTGCGGGACGGTGTGGAGTGGATGGCGTGGGGCAGGGCGGGGTGGATTGGTACAGGGTGGGTAAAGAAGTGCAGGGTGGAGCAGGGCAGTGGGGGGTCAGCGTGGTTCGGGGCCGGGCAGTGGGGTGTGGGAGGGGGCCGTGCGGTGTGGGATGGAGCGGCGGAGCACAGTGTGGTGAGAAACAGGACCGGGCTGTGCGGTGCAGATCGCGGAACTCACGCTCCCTCTCGCCGGCAGACGCTGATGCTCCCGCAAAGCGCCGACGGGACAGTCCTTCCTCCTCTTCCTCCTCTTCATCCTTTACCTCCTCCGCCCGCCGCCGCCGCCGCCGCTGCCCCGGCCGGGACCGGCCCGGAGGATGCGGAGGGCGTGGATGCCATGCTGCGGGCCGTGTCGGAGAAGTGCCGCGCCGCCCTGCGAAGCCTGGGGGGCAGCGCGGGGGACAGCGCGGGGGGCAGCCCCGGGGGCAGCCCGGGACACAGCCCGGGAGGCAGCCCCACAGCCAAGCGCCCACGGCCGGGCCCGCGCCTGCACGGCGCCTTCCGCGGGCTGCGCACCGGCCGCGCCGCGCCGCGCCCCGCCGGCGGGGAGCTGGAGGGGGGCGGCAGCCTGCGGGCCGCGCTCGGCGAGGCGGGCGCCATCCGCACCCTGGCCTTCCCGCAGGGAAACGCCTTCACTCTCCGCACGGCCGCCGGCGGGCACCGCTTCCGATGGGTGCCGCGCTGAGAGCCCGCGGCTCCGGGCGCCCGGGCAGGGCGGAGCGCGGCCTCGGCTGGCAGCGCACCCCAGCCCTCGGTACGCTCCCCTTTTTCTCTTGGAAAAGGGGTATTCGCGCTTCCCCCCGGCTGCCGGAGAAGCGACGGGAGAGCGCAGCGGAGGCACCGTGCCCCAGTGAGGGTCCTGCGCCGCACCGCCGTGGCTCCTGGCCCGGCAGCTTGCCATCAGTAGCTCGCTAATGAAAGTAGAAATTAAGCGAAGATCTGCCCGGTTTTATCCAGAGGTTTTTAGTCAGCTGAGCAGACAAGTATAGCTGACAGGACAGTGGCTGGAGTTGGCCAGTTTGAAAGCAGAGTGATCGTCCCAAGCGGGTAAAAACGATGCAGCTGCTCCATCGTGGAATTTTACACCCAATGTTTACAAAGTGTACTTGTATCGTTCATGTGTGCAACTGTATGTGTATATTTGTACTTGTTATGATGATTAAATGGTGCTTAAAATTGCCATTTTATTTGTGCAGATTCACTGTAGATGTCATTTTGCAGCAGGTATGCATATTTACTTTAATTAGAGCAGAGATAGCAGAAAGCATTTCTGACAGAATAGTGATGGAAAGTTTTGGAATAATACATGCTACTTTTAACATTAGTCAGTGTTACTAACTTATGTAAAGAGAAATGTTAAAGAGTAACAGAATAAAGGAGATGTAGATAGTGTACTGCTAGAAATATGTTTATAGCCTAACACCATGACCATGATGCATACCAAACACTTTTCATCAGTGTGTGTCTGATGATGCTCCTGTGAGTCTCACGGAGAAACATTTCATTTCACCCACTAGTTTGAAAGCTAAGCCACTAATAACACTCATGAAACAGTACCTGATATTTTTATATTTCTGTGGCACACAAGTGCTCCACTCAGGGTAGGGATTTTCTCCCTGTGAAGTTATCATTTTTTCAGCATTCAGCTTTTCCAGTGTCCTTGCATGGGTCCATACTGTTGTGCTTTTGGCAAGCAGTGATGTATTTGGAAGGCGAGTAGTTGTTGTTGCCAGCACAACACGCAGTTGTATGGCTGCTAGGAGACTGCAGAAGTGGTCATTGAGTATCTGAGGTCCTTCATGTCTGCAGCACTGACATTTTTCTAGCAAGAATGATGCTGAAGCCCTTTCTGGGATGCTGTGGCCTCAACCCTGGGATGACTTCAGAGACATTTACGTTTTTGCAGAAGACCTTTCCCACTTTGGCCAAAATCCTGTATGAAAGCTCTGTTTTGACAGCAGACAGAAGAGACAAAATCTTTCTTTCTGCACTGAATTCAACAGGGAATAAATTAATAACAAAAGATAGCATATATATATATATATATGTACAATTATATATATACACACACACATATATATATGTACAATTATGTAACGCTCATAAGAATATTAATTCCTCAGAAATGAAGTGACACAGTAAAAGTGTACACTTCTTGTAGGATGCAAAAATGAAATAACCACCCTGTTGGATTTTGACTAGTGTTGATCTTGCTGCTACTTCAAGTTTTTCAGAATTACAAATATGTTTTTACCCACTTTTTCAGTGAACCTGCTATGGCATTTCCACTGATTACTTTTACTCATAGTGTTCTATGGTAAGAGGATCCTTGATTAATTTTGAGATGTAATCTAAAAGTACTAGAAAATGCTCATAAATGTACTTTTAAGTCTATTTAATTTGAAGAGTTATTAATCAGAAAGGCCAAAAATTGGCTAATGAGAACAAGATGTTTCTCAGCGAGACTCACAGGAGCATCAGACACACAGATACACACTGATAAAAACTGTTTGGTATGCAGCATGGTCATGGTGTTAGGCTATAAACATTTCTAGCAGTACACTAGATACATTTCCTTTAATCCATAAAATGGTATTTTAAATTGATTTTTATCCATCCACTTCCATACAGGAGCTGCATAAAAAATGGGCAAAGTTCTTGCACAGATGAAAACAGCCAAATTACTGGTTTTGACAACAGTAAATTAAAAGGACTCCTGTCAGGCAGGAGTTGATGGGATCACAGGAAGCAAAGCCTGGTCCCTTGATGCCCATGTTTCATGCTTGTCTCATCAGAAGTTGACCTCAGAGAAGCTGGAAGGCTACCTCTAGGAACCCTCACGTCCAATTTTTGCTGTATTTTGTGGTTTTACATTTTATGCTTTATGCTTATTGTCTGGGAGAGGATCTGTGCAGAGCCCCTGCACATGCAGGTGTGCTGAACTGAAGAACATGCTTGTTTGTGGGTTATGCTCACTGTGATTTTCTCCCCTTGGTGGTGCATTGTCCATGCAATGGGTGAAAGGAGCTAGCCAAGACCCCAGCAGAAATACAGTAAAGTAGATGTAATAACATTTCATGAGGGTTTTACCTGCTCATGTTAGGTAAGCTTTCTCCACCTTTCCCTTCCCTGCTGGCGCCAAGCCATGGGATGTGTGGCTCTGGAAGTGTGATGGTGCAGAATTGCAGACAACTGGAACATTTTGAGGTGAAAGAGAAAAATACCTTTTAATTCTGGGGTGCCAGGGTAAGGGTCTAGTGAGTTCATGCATTGAAGACAAGCACAATAATTTCATATGTACTTTGTCTGGGAACTTTTTTGTGTGGGTAAAATCCTTAGGTGTTAATTAAAGGAAAACACCAGACCTCAAGGGACAGCTTGATTAAAACTACATTCTAGTAAGAGAGATAACTTCTAGTAAGTAGATGCATATTAATTAAATCAGTAATTTTAAGGGTGAAAAGGGCAGGAGGGACCTGGATGGAGTTATTTAGAAATGGCATAAGGTTTTTGTTATAGCTAGAATTTGTGAAAGCCTTTTTTAATCAGCAATTTTGCTCATCCCTTGATCAAAAGACAATATCCAATACTGAGTGTCAGCATGGCATTTTCCTGCAGGGCTTGTTAGGGTTCTTCAATGGATCATAAAGAGAAAATATTGCCCATTCAGAAGTCTGAACTACTCTCCACATGCCAGTAATATAAATGTTCTTGCTTTGATGTTCATTATCAAATTGTATGTAAACACAGGCAAACATTTGGTGTCATTTAATTGCTCTGGTCACTGTTTTTGAAGCACACAGGTTCAGGCAAGTCCCACGCATTTCCATCACAAAGATGCAACTGATGTTCCTGCCAGTTTGCCACAGATCCTGTGTGGTGGCAGGCAGGCATTGAGATGGAATGCTCGGGCATTTGGTGATCATGTAGAGACCAGACTCCAACATGACTATCAGTGATAGCAGCAGTACTAAACTACTCCTGTTGGCTCTTCAGCGATTGCAGAGAGATTGGATTTCACTGACATTCATTCCCTTGTTTTCCTGAATATTTTTCTAAATAAAAATACCCCTGTGTCTAACTTCAAGGAAAAGGCAAGCATTTTTCAGTCCTCTTCATATGACAGCAGCAGCACTCTTCATCTTTTCTAAACACTGACTTCTGGTCAGCAGCCATTATTTACATTTTGCATTGCACAGCCTCAACAAACAACTGAAGCTAATGAGGTCAAAAGAGGCTGTAGTTTGCTTTGGCACAACTATTTCATAGCTGCAGCAAAATCATTCTTAAAGTCTGACTTGCACCTAGCACCTGTTCAAACTCTGATAGCAAGTGACTATTTATGTTCAATATTTACTTTATATCTTAAATAAAATACTATGAAGAATAAACCAGTAAAAGCCTTCAAGGTTTTTCATGTGTTGGGAAAATACATGAAAACAATTTTTTTTGGTAAAATCTCCAGATTTCTTATGCGGATAATGCAGCTACAATTAGAACTCCCTTGCTAAAACAAGTCAACTTGGATTTTGAGTCTATTCTCTTTTTCACCCAGTAAATTGTTGTTGTGATTGCCTGTGAGGGTTATGATTTAAATCCAGCTGGAAGTTAAACTTCATGGAACCACAGTCTGGGATAACCAGGGAGTGTCCATGGTTAAATCCACCCATCAATCACGAGCCCATCTGGATGTTGCATCTCTTCCCTGGTGATCTGAGGCATCATGGGTACATCGAGGCAGAAATAATTCACCCTTTTGTTGCCAGTCCAGATCCACCTGAGACACTTCAACCTTGGCACCTCAATCCACCTCCCCATTGTTTTGATATTCTTCAATACCCAGCTCCTGGGTATTGTGCACCTACGTGATGTACTTTACAGCCAGCTTCTCCACCTGGGCAGAGGTGCCACAGTTCTGCAGCCCAGATGGGTTTCCCTTTGCACTGCCAACTGGTCTTTTTCCATTGGTCCATTTTCCACCATCAGCAGGTCAGTGTAGAGGTAGAGTAGTGGCAATTTCTCTCATTCAGTGACATCTAAAGCCAGCTGGACAGTTTTCAGCTTTGTGAACTGACTGGGTCTACCTTGTCCCTCAACAGTGTAGGACTCCATACAGCACCTTTCCACTTTCAAATAGTCCTTACAATACATCAGTAACCATCAGTGAAGAGAGTGCATTGATTTTAATTTTTTGGCAGCTGATTGTAGTGTAGGACCTCCTCAGCATGTTCAACCTTTTTCTCCTCTGGTGATGATAATCTAAAAGTTTCACCTTCAGGCCAGTGTGTGATGACTTCTGAGATCCCTGGGTGATTGGGTTTCCTATTTGAGCTCACTGGGTGATCAGAGCAATTCCACATAGCACCAGTGCCATGATGCGTGGCACTTTCCCTTTGAACATCCAGTCCAGCAGTCAGGATGCCAGAAGAAGCTGTGCTTTGCTAAAAATCACCTCTGAGGCAGCTCAAATCCTATAATAAGCTGCAAGGATCTCTTTTTCAGCTGGAGTGTAGAAAGGTTCAGATCCTTTGCATCCCTGACTCCAGAACTCCAGGGCTCATTCCTGAGTCTCCTGGATACATTTCACTGGGAATCCAGGAAGGACCATTTTGCCTGGCTGCAGCGTAGAACACATTTTTCACATCTTATCCTGTCCTGACTGGCCGAGGGACTACTCCATGAACA